AGTCCGCGTTTTACTAGTCAGCGTTTTACTAGTCCGCGTTTTACTAGTCCGCGTTTTATTTGTCCGCGTTTTACTAGTCAGCGTTTTACTAGTCCGCGTTTTACTAGTCCGCGTTTTACGAGTCCGCCCTTTACTAGTCCGCGTTTTACTAGTCCAGTCCAGTCCAGTCCAGTCCACGAAATACCATATCCCCTGTTGAACAGCTGTTGAAGTACCACGTTCATTGTAGTTTCTAGATTATAACACTGAGTGTTTTTTTTTTTGTTTTTTTTTTTTCACATTACTCGAGACTGTGTCTTTGAAATGAAAATAAGAAAGTGGTCAATTAAAACCGCATTTAATTCCGATCAATAATTTATAGCTTGGGATCAGCATCCTTTAAAAAAAATTAAAAATCAGAAACAAATGTGGGACAGTCGCGATGTAAACTCTTAACAGTAATCTGTGTTGAGAGAATAATTGACAAGTTGAGTGTGATACCAACTCTATGTAACGTTGACTATAAAATGATAAAAAATCAATATCTGTTCAAAACATATTTCCCATCAGTGTAATCCTAATTCTGTTGTCATTACTTACACACTGAAAGGCATATACTTTAAACTGACTAAGCCACGTCAACCTGAGGCACTTCCACAGTGATACACGAAGTGAAGGAAAACGACCTTATGGAAACTCTGAGAAGTGAAATAATTAAGCTCAGATTTTGATGATAAGATATATAAAACTTGTTCGCATGATTCACGGAGCGAATGATTCCCACTGAGAGCCATTTGTGGTGGTTATCGTGACCGCGTAACCAAATATGCCTCAAAAGAACTTACCATAAAGAAACCCATCAGTAGTATTTCCATCCTTGAAAACATACGGCTTTCTTGACAGACATGAAAGACGTACACATCTTGGGCATGGTGTTTCAAAACAGTTCGAAGACAGTTGCATTAGACTGCAGTTTACTTCAACTTCGGCGGAAGCCTGGTTAGCATTCAACAGAAACAAACAAACTGCGATTGTGAGTAATGCTTGCTCTTTACAGTGACACATATCCAACGGCATTTCTGTGAACTCGTAAACAAATTCAGATGCCTTCAGCTTGAATTCCGTCTCTAGTAGCTTTTCTTTCTTAAACAGTGATTTCACTGGCTTTTTCTACTAACTTCAACTTATGTCAGTTCTACACGTATCATCCATTATTGTCAGAACTAATAAATCGTTTGGTATTCATGCACTGTGTTCTTGCCGATATCTGATCGCAAACAAAATGGGGGCTGACGTCACGTTGTTTGAAAACTTTGCCACACGCATGCGTGCATATACTGAGCCAACATAGTTGGATTAAAGAAGGAGAAGGTGACTCTGCCAGCAAGATACTGCCTTCCTCGTCCGATATGTTTTTTCGATAGACTGCTGATAACATTGAGCGCACTTTGTCTTTTATCAAACAGGTGTGCGAACCAAGTTTGGAATATCGTTCAAATAATGATCTGATTCTGAAAGCTGAACAAACCACACTACGCACTACGCATGAGACTTGCGGTAAGCTAAGTAAGTTTCTCTTTAATCCAAATAAGGGGTGAGTCACGTCAGTTTCACATGACATGTGAAGATAAATTTTCAGTTTTTGTTTTCAAAAAGATAGAATTTTTTCGACGCACGTAAGGAAGGCCGTAGGCACTATGTTACAGTGTCGAGTGTTCTGTAAGTCCGTAACCTCTCCCCAAGCCCCATCGCGGTTTTCAAAATGGCGGACTATCGTACATCTTTTGAGACTAGTCCTGGCCTGGTTCAGTTCCGACAATTCAAGGGCGTAGCCGGGGGGGGGTCCTGGGATGCCCGTGACCCCCCTTGGTAGGCCTTCTTTAGAGCAAACAGCTTACAATATTCAGGTGGCGAAAACGCCATGACAATATCTTGGCCGAAAAAGCCATTGTTGAAAAGCCCACTTTTTTTAAATTTGTTTTTTTGTGGAGTATTTTCGTCAACGGCTCTTGTATTTAGTTAATATGGGCCTTCATGCCGCGATAATATGACTGAGCCCGCTGATACACGCGGGAGAGCAGCGGTGTAAATGGTGAGTAGCCTCTGTGACCCTCCCTTTGGAAAATCCTGGCTACGCCCCTGGACATTGGTCATGGTTGAACGAATCTGATCGGATTTATTCGGATTTATTTATTTCATAATTTTTTTTGGCTTAGTGAATTTTTTTTTTCAGGGCCTCACCTCTGCATTTCGACGTTGTTATTGATTTGAACGTAAAAGCTACGTCGGCAAACGTTCGCACATGTGCGTTAGCTCTGAAGATATGTAACATATCCTTTGAAAAAAAAAAATGGAAAAGAAAAACAAAAAAAAGAAAACAAAAAGTTGGCGAGGCCAGGGCTCAAACCTTGTAAGTGCTAGGTATGCAGAGCGTACGAGGTAGCAAACCTGGTTTTCACTGTCACACTAATAAAAAACAAATAATAAACAACAAATAAAGTCAAGAATCAAAGGGACAAAAGAAGATGAACAGATAAACTGTCTCGCTGAGATTCAGGTCTGTGCCATGTTTCGTGCGGGAGATATTCGAAGAAATGTTTTACTCAATTAACTTTGTGGGAGGACGCCATGTTTGTGTCCCTCTGACGAGCACAAATATGGCGGCCGAAAGCTAACAAAAATAGATGTCATCGAGTTTGGCTATTAAAAGCCTGTAGTCGTCTTCTGAGGGCTCATAAACATCTATGTGAAAAGCTTATAAATTCAACCTTGCGTTATCACAAGACGAAAAGCACTACTAAACTAAAAAATTTGTAAAACGATAACGAACTAGACTAAAATCTCAAAAAAGATTGATGATTTTGATGACGCCACGTGAAAACCAAGAACAGCTTTTATTTTCACCAGAATGGTTGAGCACTAGGCCTCATTGTGGAAAAGATGCTAAAGTCAATTCGGAAATGGCCGATCGACCAGTTTACAAGCTCTGCTCTCACCAAGTCCTCCTTTTGTCACAACTGAAGTTTGGCATGGAGAAGGGCTGTTTATAGCACATTGCTTTTTTACTACAATACTCTAAAACTATACAACAGTTAGCACATGCAGTCATAGACTGCCTTTTATTTTTGTATTTTTCGTTACCTCCAAGTTGGCCATTTCTAGCCGTCCTGTGCATGCAGGAATGTATGGGCCGATCATTTACCTGAGGTATAAGCTAAACCGCGGTTTTGCACATCATTGGGCCTCAGGTACTCTCTATGAGAGGGTTGATTTAATTAAATAAATGTCCCTCTACTGTTAGCTTTCGGCGCTCTGAACACTGTTCGCAAAAACAGAGGTTTTAATAAAAGGCAGTGCTAATTCGAAGATTGATTAGGACGCGGTTTTGTTAAACACGGGCTAAACCTGACTGACTGATTGGTCCAAGTGCGTTAATTTATATTAAGGCACGAAGCATGTGTCACCAGAATGCCAATGGCGCATTGAATAGAAGCACAATTATATAGAATCTATCTGCCAAATAGATAGCGAGTAGCCTAGCCAATCAGCTTCCAGCATTTTTGATAGGTATTATCACCAGAATTAGCAAATTTTTATGTTTTGGATATATCAACAAAGTTGAAATGGTAAATTGGCCACCGTAACGATTACAAAAGCTGACGTTTCGAGCGTTAGCCTTTCGTCGGAGCGTATAGAGGAATTGTGGGTTGTGTGTGCTTTTAAAGGCAGAAAATGGAGCTACGCTATAGCAACGAGAAAAACATTAATAAATTAGTGGAATGAAAAGCGTTCGTGATCCCTGTGGGATTTAGACTGCCGGTTTGAAAGATGAGCTTTTGTTCAAGAGTTTTACGGCTTTCTGTGCTACCTAAGTGTAAGGAAAGACCGCAGATTGCCATATGTTGCTTAGAATGATTAGGTAAATTAAAATGTCTAGCGACTGGTTTCGATGTGTCCTTGTCATTCTTTTCCACGTCTCGAAGGTGTTCTCGGAATCGGTCACCTAGTCTTCTGCCTGTTTCGCCGATGTATATCTTTTTGCAATAAGTGCAAGTTATGCAATAGATTACATTGGCGGAGGTGCACGTGAAGTGATCGGTGATCTTAATGGATCGTTTAGGTCCCGATATTTTATCAGTGTTGTGAATGAAAGGACACGTTTTGCATCGTGCACGAGCGCATTTAAAAGTGCCTGGTTGGTCATTAGTCTGAAAAGAACTTCTGACCAAAAAATTGCCTATGTTTTTGTCGCGTTTGAATGAAATGAGCGGAGGCTGCGAAAAGATAGTGCTTGTCTCTGGATCGTTTTGAAGTAATTTAAAGTTTTTAAGAATGATGGATTTAACTGAGTGGTTGTGAGGGTGAAACGTGAGAGTGAATGGAATGCGGTCGGAATCTTCCTTATGCGACGTTTGTAGTGCTGAATGTCGATCAATAAGTTGGGCGCGGTGGTAACCCGCTTGAACGACAGAAACAGGGTAACCACGTTTATCGAAAAACTGGCACATTGACTCTGATTTGTGGTGGAAATCAGAGTCATCACTACATAAACGACGAAGTCTTAGAAACTGAGAAAAAGGAATGGAATTCTTAACGTGAGATGGATGCGAAGACGAATATAACAAGTAATTATGCGAGTCTGTAGGTTTGTAATACACACTAGTGCATAAACCGTTACCTTCAATTGAAACTTTGATGTCTAAAAAGGATAAAGAATTGTCAGAAATTTCCCAGGTATATTTCAGAGCCGGGTGAAAAGAATTGACTGCGGTTATGAATTGAGTGAGCTCCTCTCTGGTAGAGGAGGTAGCGCCGATACAGTCGTCGATGTAGCGACCGTAGAGTTCAGGTTTGGACCCGTTGTATTGGCTGAAAAATTGATGTTCGACAAAACCTACAAAAAGATTGGCATAGCTAGGTCCCATTTTGGTGCCCATGGCTACACCATTGGTTTGTTTGAAGAAGTTGTTTCCGAATGAAAAACAATTGAGTGTGAGCACTAGTTCGGCTAAGCGTAGTAGTGTTTCAGATTTAGGTTCCTTAACAGTACGTTGATCAAAAAAATGTTTAAGGGCCAGAAGGCCTTCGCCATTAGGAATGACAGTGTAAAGAGACGTAATATCCATGGTGAAAAGAAGTTTGTTTTGGCCAAGGAAATTAAAGTCTCGAAAAATTTGAAGAGCGTGTTGGCTGTCTTTAATATATGATGGTAAAGTTTTGACGATGGGAGCCATNGTCCGTACTTCAGTGTCTTCTCAACATCCTTTCTTGTCCGATTGTTAACCCACGGCCAGCTCATTTCCAGCGTCACAACTCTCTTGCACATGTGATTTGCAATGCGCGCATCCACCCTATTGCATCTAACCTCTTGTTGATCAGCATATATAGGGACATCCCAATAAGCTTTAACATTCTCTGACTCGAAAAGGCCCGAAAAGACCATCAGCTGGAGAGAGTAAGCAACAGAAACGGCGCCGTTTGTACGTAGAAAAAGTATGTGAAATAGAGAAACAGATTTCAATTGCCAAAGCGGAAGTGGATCGCTTGAAAGAAAACCGAAAGCTCACCAAAAGAGGGAGAAGGAACCGGGAGATTTTGCACAAGGAATGCCGCACGTTATCGTGCGGCATTATAATAATAATAATTATTATTATTATTATTATCATTATCATTATTAAATTATAGACATAGCCCGCTTCTCGACTCGCACCAACTGATGTGTTAAGTACTTTGGCAAAGCATGAAAAAAGGCAGGTGCCGCGTACGTAAGAACAGAGTGGATACAGGCAGTATAAAAGGTGGACATATCATGCCTAGGAACTCTTGATCTTTTTAACTGCACTAAAAAATACAGACGCTTTGACGCTTTCTTGATTACGTCACTAATATGTTCGTTCCACTTAAGGTTGTTCGATATTGTCAGGCCTAGAAGTTTCGCACTAGTCACTACCTCTAGTTCTTTACCATCTACAAAAATAGGCGCAAACTGGGGCTCGTTCTTTGCAAAAGATATTCTGAGCTCGTTACACTTTTCGCGATTGAGCTTGACTCTATTCTGCATGGACCACTCCACGACCTTAACTGCGATATCCTGGGCATAACTTTAGTTTCCCTCGGTAACGACTTCTGATGCCGTCGTATCGTCAACGTACTTCAATACATTAGCTAAATCATCAACAAGAAATAACCATGGGCCTAATTTAGTTCCCTGAGGGACCCCGGAGGGCATTGAA